TACTATTCGAATCTTTGAATCATATGCGATCTCCAACAATGAAATGTTGGACATAGACTCATATAGGCTTTGACATGATCGCCTTGGTCACCCCGGTCGTGACATGATGATTCGAATTCTCAAGAATTCACATGGGCACCCTTTCTTTCGAGAAAGGTATAAAGAAGGGCGAAAAGTCAGCACAGTACAAACTGTTAACCATGCGGCTCCTCCACAAGTACAATTATGTTTTAAAGCACAAGAAGAACTAGCCCATGCTTCCCTAACTATGTCCACATTACAAAACTCATTTTGCAAAGCCTGCTCCTTAGCAAAAACAGGATCGAGATCATCCTATGCTAAAGACACAAAACAAAACATCCCATTCTTACAAAGAATTCAAGGAGACATATGTGGACCGATCCATCCAGAATGCGGACCATTTAGATACTTTATGGTTCTGGTGGACGCATCGACCCGTTGGTCGCATGTTACCTTATTGTCCACAAGAAATGCTGCATTTGCAAAACTCCTAGCACAAATAATTCGCTTAAGGGCCCACCACCCCGATCATCCTATAAAGTCTATTAGACTTGATAACGCTGGAGAGTTTACATCAAAGACATTTGATGACTATTGCATGTCTATCGGGATCGACATAGAGCATCCCGTTCCCCATGTACACACACAAAATGGTCTCGCAGAAGCTACTATTAAAAGATTACAAACAATAGCTAGGGCATTGGTTATGCGCACCAACTTGCCTATATCTGCATGGGGATATGCAATATTACATGCAGCCTTACTTATTCGCTTTCGGCCCATTGCGAACCAACCATTTTCTGCATACCAGTTGGTAACTGGATATGAGCCTGACATTTCACACTTACGCATATTTGGTTCTGCAGTCTATGTGCCAATTGCGCCACCACATCGCACCAAAATGGGTCCTCAAAGGCGATTAGGTATATACGTTGGATACGAATCCCCAACAATAATCCGCTATCTAGAACATTTGACAGGCGATCTTTTCACCGCAAGATTTGCGGATTGTCACTTTGATGAGACAACATTCCCGTCGTTAGGGGGAGATAAGAAAAAGGATTTTTCCGAAGAACGACGTGAATTATCCTGGTGTGTTCCTACACTGTCTCATTTTGATCCCCGCACCTCACATTGTGAAAGTGAAGTGAAGTGAAAAGAATAATAGACCTACAAAATGTAGCAGACTCAATGCCTGATGCATTTTCTGATATTGCAAAAGTGACAAGATCACACATACCAGCTGCAAATGTGTCTGCAAGGTTAGAAGCCCCCAAGGGAGGGCACAGTGCCATAGTAGGAGGCACTGCAACCACACTTAGTGGAGGTGTGGTTGAGGCCGTGGCTCCTCAAAGGAAGAGAGGAAGACCACTCGGTTCGATTGATACTCGTCCAAGGAAGAAGAGGACGAGTACGGCACAACCTAATCCATTAATCATCGATGAACAACATCCATCACATGAGATTATCTCTGATTATAGTTATGTCCATGAATCATTACTGGAGGACGCTCCGATGATCGAAATGATTCTAGAAAACAAGGAAATCTCTATGGATTGTGAAAATGCACATGTGTTAATGGAAAGATCTTCCATACACATCGATGATATATTTGCATTTACAGTTGCTCAAGAAATTATAGAGCATGATGATATCGAACCTCACTCTGTGGCAGAATGCCAACAAAGAGCTGATTGGCCTAAATGGAAAGAAGCAATCCAGGTCGAATTAGATTCCTTGACAAAAAGGTAGGTATTTGGTCCGGTAGTGCTAACCCCACCAAGTGTAAAGCCTGTAGGACATAAATGGGTATTTGTCAGAAAGCGTAATGAGAAGAATGAAGTCTTAAGGTATAAGGCTCGCCTAGTGGCGCAAGGTTTCTCACAACGCCCTGGGATTGACTACGAGGAGACCTACTCTCTCGTGATGGAAGTTATCACGTTCCGATACCTAGTCAGCTTAGCAGTTTCTGAAGGATTGGAAATGCAATTGGTGGATGTGGTTACTGCATATCTCTATGGGGATCTTGATTCAGAGATATATATGAAAGTACTCGATGGACTTTCACTACCTAAATCAAGTGACTCTAAACCGCGGAGTGCGTTTGCAATAAAATTGAAACGCTCACTTTACGGATTAAAACAATCTGGGCGGATGTGGTATACCCGCCTAAGTGACTACTTGATTAGGAAGGGATACAAGAACGATGAGCTTTGCCCCTGCGTATTCATAAAGAAAACGAGTTCCGGATTTGCAATCATAGCTGTATATGTCGACGACATGAACATAATCGGCACTCTTGACGAAATAAGAGAAACCGCGAGCTATTTGAAATCCGAGTTTGAGATGAAAGACCTTGGGAAAACTCGATTTTGTCTAGGCCTTGAATTAGAACATCGAGTTTGTGGAGTATTAATCCACCAGTCTGCGTATATCCAAAAGGTACTCAGGCGATTTAACATGGATAAAGCGCACTCTGCTAGCACTCCCATGGTGGGCCGAAGTCTAGATCCTAAAAAGGATCCATTTCGTCCAAAGGAAGATGACGAGGAGGCATTAGGAGCTGAAATTCCATACCTAAGTGCAATAGGCGCATTATTGTGCTTAGCACAATGCACTTGGCCCGATATAGCATTCTCAGTGAACTTGTTAGCTAGATTTAGCTCTGCGCCTACGCAACGTCATTGGAACAGTATCAAGAATATCTTTAGATATCTTAAAGGGACCAGTGACTTGGGACTGTTCTTTCCCTACGGAGAGACGAAGAAAACCACAAATGGAGTTGTGGTCACAAAGGACAAAATGGTCACCTCCCTGAAAACCCCAAATGATGTCTTGGTAGGTTTTGCTGATGCTGGGTACCTCTCCGACCCTCACAAAGGCCGTTCCCAAACTGGCTATGTTTTCACAATCGGGAACACGGCGATATCCTGGAGATCAACTAAGCAAACCCTTGTGGCTACCTCCTCGAACCACTCAGAGATCATTGCTCTACATGAGGCGGTCCGTGAGTGTATATGGTTAAGAGCTATTATTGCACACATTCGAGGAACTAGTGGTTTAAAACCTACCACTGAAGAGCCAACCTGCATCTACGAGGATAATGCAGCCTGTATCGAACAAATGAAATTAGGATACATCAAGGGTGACAACACAAAACACATATCTCCTAAGTTCTTCTATAATCAGCAACAACAGGCCTTCCTCAAGATCCAAGTAAATCAAATAAGTTCGGAAGCAAACGTAGCAGACTTGTTTACCAAGTCATTGCCCAAGGCCACATTCGAAAAACATGTGAAAAACATTGGAATGCGTAAGTTTTCTGAAATCCCCTGATTAATGTAAATATCAGGGGGAGGTGTAGACTTCAGGGGGAGTCTTACACCCTCACGTTATACTCTTTTCCTTAAATCAAGCTTTATTTTTCTCCCATTGGGTTTTTGTTACTTGGTAAGGTTTTTAACGAGGTAACTGTGAGTATCGATCAAAGTAAAGAATCCAAAAGGACTCGATGAATGAAGTCCAATAAACTCTAGTCTCTTGTCAAGGTTTATTTTTCCCACATGGTTTTTTATGTTACTTGACGAAGTTTCCACAAGGCTACAGGGAGTGCAACACTCTATCTACAACTCAGCACAAGGGGGGGTGTTAAAGGAAATTACTTGTAGTGTGCTGTCATTATAGATAGAATATTCACTAATATATTATGTACTGAGCTAATGGGCCCGAGAAGCCCAACCCTTGTGTAAACCTAATTCTCCTCTATTTAAAGAGAGTCTACCTATTGGAATAACACACCTCTCTCACTTCTCTACAACATAATTAGCTTTTTTTCGTTTTAAACGTGTACCGTTTTTTTGAACAAAAAAAAACATTCAAAACGAAAAATAATGTTGGTCCGTTTAAAAAGGAAAAAAACTCCTACTTCCCGTATTAAACGTATTTCCCCCGTGTTTTACTAAAAAATAGAAACATGAATTGATTAATTGAATGAACGCATTAAATGCATATGAGATCAACAATAGTGTAAAACCAAAAAAGAAAAGCTCCTCTTTGTGACCTCATGTTTTTGTATTGTTACAATACAATTATTAAATACTAAAATTAATTGCATGATGGTTTAAGCTTAATTGCGTCCCTTAATTTACAAAAAATAAAAACATGAATTGATGAATTGAATGAACACATTAAATGAATATATAGGGGATCAACAATAATTTAAAACAAAAAAATAAAAGCTCCTCCATGTGACCTCATGTTTTTGTATTGATAAAATACAATTATTAAATACTAAAATTAATTGCATATTTGCATTGCGGCTAAAGTTAACATTCGTAAAGACTAAAATTTAAAATAATACAGAGTACTAGATTTTTGATGTTTTTTCAAACAAACATGTCAAAGTTAAAGTTTTTCTGAATCTGACATTTTTTAGTATAAACTTTTACACATAAACAATAAGAAGCGCGCGTAGCAGTCACATATGTCATCCGTCGTCTTGATGAAAATGATGAATTTAAATTGAGTGTTATTTGATGATCATATAAAGATAATCATTTTTACTTAGTCTCAAACTATTTTTTTATGTCTTATTTGTTGACATTAGTTTACAAAATCATATCTTGAACTTAATTACTATTTTTATTTTTGTCATCGACTTACGCAATTACGAATTATTCTTTTATGTAGTAATGAGATTTGCTACTTGAATATGTGTATACTTTTATTTCTTTTTACTATATACGTTCTTTTGTAAAGTATATAATTTAAATGTTCAAAATAGTACCCGTATTTTTTGTCCGAATTTTTGTAACAGATACCATATTATACACGTATACGTATTTACACGTTTTTTAAAAGTCAACGTTTTTTTAAACGAATTTTTGATCGTTTTTTCATTAATGTTACCGAATAAAACGCGTACGTATTAAACCTCATTTAATTCTCGTACCGTATTTAAATAACTATGGTTTTAAGCCGTTAATTTTAGATGTTTATGTTGACGGAACATGTCGAAATTGGATGGAAAAGGGACCGTGCTAACGTATGTTGGCTTTTGTTATATAAGCAAAGATATATATATTGTACACACACCGCTGATGAAACAAGAAGCTGGGAAGGAATTGATTACAGCCTGTAAGGGAAACAGGCACATCTATGGAAGGAATTGATAATGGATTACTGTAAGAAACAAAAAATCTATGTAATAAGACTTGAAGAGGACTTTCCATTGTTTAGTAATCCTGCAATAGAGAGATCTCTTAGTCATGAAGCAAGGGAATCAGTTCTATCGGCTTTGGTTTTAGATGGCCGTGCAGAATGGATAGATAAAGGCCACAGGAAATGCCTTATCCTTTGGCATAGAATTCAAGATTGGGCCGACTTAATATTGCACTTAGTCGATAATGGTTTGGAGGACCGTGTGATGGCAGTTGAATCCAGGGGAACAGAGCTTCACGGGTTGGGCCGAAAAGTTCTTATGCAAGCATTGAAGCTGCTAGAGAACACGGGAAGGCCCAAAAGGGCATATTCGTACTTTTATAAAACATTACATCAAAAATCATTTTTTTATCAAACACCGTAACTTTTACTTTTTTATCACAATCACTTTTATTCCAAAACACTATCAACTTTCATTACAAAGCATTCTCTTCAAAATCACTTAAAAAATCGTTTTTTTAAGTAGAAGCAAACGCAAATTTCCCTAAGTTCATAATAGATTTTAATAGTCTCATTTGGTTATTATCATATTTTTTCTTGATTAATTACTTTTCAATTTTAGTTTTGTAAGGTTCAATAAATTTTTCTTGGTTAAATATTTTTTAAACTGCCTTTTTTTTGTCTTGTAGATGCACGAAACTCTTAAGTCGCATCTCACGTCAAGAGTCATCCGGATGATGCTGCCATTTTTTGCCTGCTAAAATAATAATTTTTGTATTAAAATAACAATGACATATTTAATAAAGTGGTTACCCGCAGTTATAACCGTTACCTGTTGGGGTAATTATGATTCAAATAAAAATTACCAGTTGGATAATGGATCGGTTATGGGACAGAGAAGTTACCAAACGTTGTGTGTACGATGATATGCATAACCGTCCTATATCCGTCCCGTTGTCATCTCTAGCCGTATGTTGTAATCCTATATGAACAAATTATAATTCTTGATCCGAACAACTTTAATTCTGCAAATGTTTTAATATTCCTACCTTTTTTGTATCAATTATCAACAATCCCTGCTTTTTATAGTTTATATTTTAATGATTTTATTTTATGTATTTCGGACGTTTGAAAAATGCATACCGTTCCATTGTAAAGTACTACCTCCGTTCTTAAATAAATGCAACACTTTGACTTTTACACTATTCACATGTTCTACTTTGACTACATTTTATTTATTAATGTAATAATATTATTTTATAAAAAAAATATTGTTAAACTTGTCTCATTGTAAATTTTCATAATCTAATTTTTTAAATTTTTTTACTAATACAAAATCATTTATATTAATGGTCAAAGTTGTGTGTCGGCAAGTGTGAAATGTTGACCGTTTCATTTATTTAAGAACGGAGGAAAGTATATATTATTTCTTAAAACTGATTTGATATTTGGCTCACATAGGTTTTGAGCCAAGGGTGTAACGATTTATTTAAATTTTAAAGATTTTCTATCGGCATGGATAACTCTGATCCAACATTTTGAATTCGACCCACAATTCGGTTAATTTGGTCGGGTGTCACCTTGGGACGGAAAACATGCGAGTCAAAATCCATGCCTAATTCTGAGCCTAGTTTGCCGCGGGCAAAAATATCCGAGCCAACACATTTGTCTCGACGGTAGTTGCTCGGGTTCCTAATTCAAGCAAGCCAAACCCGTTAGCCTAGGAAATTTATGAAGTGATCCCAGTCAAAAGCCCAGTCAATAACAATTTTTTTTGTAGTGTGCATTTTTTCCTAACCGGAATACTTATTATTGAAATGAAATTTATTTATAAAAATAAGACTAATAATTATTATAGTATAATCTCATAGTCACTTAAACGTGTTCTAGAACTCGTTAGGCACTAATTAGATAGTTGAGGGGCGCCTAGTGCCTAGGCGACGACTAGGCCAATTGTTAGACCGACTAGGCCAATTTTTAGCCTGACCATGCCCTTAGTGCTCCAGAGTTAGGGTTGCCGAAGATTCATCAGACCGACTAGACCGGTTTTTAGAACAATGAATAAGAATTGAACATAATTTACTATTAATCAGTCACTACAATCAGAAGTTTCGCATATATATAGGGTGCGGATCACATAAAAACCATTCCTCCTATGAAAATTGCAAATCATTCACTTTTCTCAAGTACATTAAAAGTGATTTTTATTTGATCCGAAATATGTATGTGTGTACTTATTTTTTGATTGTATCTATTTAAAGCACTTTAAATGTAATTATCTCTTTTTTATGATATAATTATTTCTTGTTTGTATCTTATTTTAAGCACTTTAATCCTATTTTTAATGATTTTCAAAAAACTGTTAACTATCATTACTACTACTGTTATTTTTGTATCTTACCCTCTTTATTTTGATTTAACACGTCTGCTACGATGCCCTGGTAATAGCATACGTCGTCGTCCTGAATCTGGGGCACATTAGTTTTTTTTTGTCTTTTCTTGCTCCTAGAAAATTGAAAGAGTTAATCATAGAACCACAAGGAAGAACAAGCTATAATGTATACTTTGATATATGTGGTGGTGGGGAGAAAACATTGCACGAGATTATAATACAGTTTATTAAAAACTGTTTTCTCCTAAATGGAATTTCGGTTAGTGAATCACTCTACTAATGCAATTTGATGCAATTTGAATTTTCGTGTTTTCGCGTTAGTGAATTTTTTTGTTGCAAAGTTTCATTTTTCGCGTTTCTCAATGCACAACATTGACATTGATATATCTCATTCCTTATTAGTTAAAATATAGAATCACAATTTGAAATTTTATAATGAGATATATGATTTGACCATGTTTTTCAAAAAATAAATTTATAATGCATTAATATATTAAATAAAGAACACAGGTAGTATTAAACTAGCAAATACTACCTAATAAATAATTAATACTCCTTCCGTCACGTTAATAGGTTCTCATAGCAAAACGGCACAGTTATTTAGACAATAATTAAATAAAATACTTTGAGTATATTTTAAGAAATCATTTTAATAGGTATGTGATGTGAGTTTTCTCGCACTTAAAATATGTAGCAGTATAGGGTGTAAGTACGAGTATCGTCTCCACAGGGACGGACAAAAGGGAATTAAAGATTAACTAAATTCAGCGATAAAAACTAACAAAAAAAAATTGTGCAAGATTTGATTTGATGGAAAATTAAATTGCGAATAAAGAAATTAACTAATGGGTTCTTTCTAACTAATGACGAAGGGAACATGGATTGATTCCGGGGTAATTAGATTTCTGGCAAATCAGGCTTAATCACATGAAATTAATTTAATTGAGCCTATCTAATCATTACTAAATTCTTACCGCTCTCGCAGCGTAGAGTACAATAATTTAGGGGACCAGGCTGATCTCTCATGCAACAGGATCCTAAACTATTGCCAAACGAGCGAGTTTACGACCCCTTAATCGCTACTAATCTCTTAGCGAACGATTAAGTGTGTGTGAATGTGTCCTATAATAAATTAGATCTCTCTTAATTTATTCTACCATCAATTGTAATCCTAGCAGACACGTTCTAGGTTACAAGAGATATCAATTAAATCATTCAAACACCAATTAAATCAAGATTCATGCAATTAATTCATCAAGTAACTAGCCATACATCGTTAGTGGCGGAACCAGGACTCTAGACTCACAGGGGATCATTAACAAAGAAATCATATATATCACGAATTCAACAATAAACAAAACTATAAAATCCAAATAAAACAGCTAATGAAATAGTACCTTAATTTTGATTAGCAACTGGAGCGTCAAATGAAGGAGAAATATTTAGATATGGCAATTTATGTCTTCGAGGCGCTATACTCTGAAATCGCCTCATAATGTCTTCATTCTCAACTTTAACAAAAATATTTTTCTCAATGTAACACACCAAGCTATCTGTCAAGAATTCTTCTCCAATCTTGTTGCGCAAATCATTCTTGATAAACTTCAATGTGGAGAAAGATCGCTCAACTGTGGCTGTTGTAACAGGTAAGACCAATGTCAACTGAATGAGTCGATACACTAACTTGTAAGTTGTGTGCCATTCCGTTTCAACCATTTTTTTTGCCAAATCTCCAATAGTTTGAAGACTTGAGAACTCTGGAGATGATTTGACAAATGTAAGAAACAACCTAAGTTGTTCATTTAATTCATATTTTTCTCTTGAGCTAAAATCATCTGGGTATAATTCAGCAAGACGAAGTAGCCGCTTCGAATCAAAATGAGAGAATGAGTCTTTAGGACTTAAGGACGCTTGCACATCAGTAGCTCCGAACTTGACTCAGTAAAACGATTATTCATCTCTTGCATAAGGCGGTCAATAACCTAACATTATATTTAAAAAATAATGAAATACTGCAGTAAAACAAATAAATTGATATACGCTTAAATAAGAAATAAAAGTCCAAAATTACCTCGAGAAATATGTCAACATGAAAATAATGGTAATAAGTTTTCGGGTTACCATCAACTGTCTTTTATCTTTTCACTCTGTCTGACTTTACATCTTTCATATTAGGCATATCAATACCATGACTTGAACAAAATGTAGTCACTTGTTTAACTAACAAACCCCAACCATAATAATTACAATAACTTTCCAAATCGACCTTGACTGCCAAATACATTATACAAATACTACGAAAAATCAACAAATAAAAAGAGATCTACGGCTTACCTGGCGGCTGGCGGCTGGCCGAAACTCCGAAATCCGAAAGGCCGACCTGCTCGAGTCTCGAGACTGCTCAGAGTGCGGTGCTTTGTGCTCGGCTAGTCGGCTGGCGGCTGCTCGCCTGCTACGGCTGTTGGGCGACCGGCGGACGGGCTCTGTTCTCGTCAGTCGTCTTCTCGAATCTCGAATGCTCTGTGCCTCTGTTCGCGACGGGCTCCCAGTCGTCTTAGTCGAATAGTCTTCTGCTCCGCTGCTCGTGTGAGTAGTGTCCGACTGTCCGGTGTCCCTTTGCGTGTTTGGACAGAAAATTGGAAGAGGCGAAGAGCCGAAGAGCGGAAGAGGCTAAAGGGTGGGCTTTGGGTTTAATTTGGTGCTTCACTGCTTTGGGCAATGGGCCGCAGGGTGGACTTTGGGCTGACAGGCTGCAGGGGCTGTTATATATATATATATATATATATATATATATATATATATATATATATATATATATATATATATATATATATATATATATATATATATATATTATAATAAAAAAATGGAGGGGTTGGGGCACCTCCGAGACCCATGCTCCTTTCGCCACTGTACATCGTGATTCACCTCTTCATCAATCTCAAATCTCTAATTAAAACTACTCGCAATTCATAATTCAAGAATCAACAGAATTGGGATGAATGGAAATAATTGTCATTAATTAAAAAGATGGAACTTACAAAGAATCTCCAAAGATTGATGAACAAGGTTTTAAACCTCTCTAAATTTTGTGCTAGGCACTCTCTCTAAGCCCCCTCAAAACAGGGGTTTATAGGTTGTTTAAATAGGAAAAAAAGGATAAAATTCAAGTGAAATCAGGACTCCAGGGGGCACCCACAGAACCACGCACGCGTGTGTGGCGTCTGTGCGTCCGACAGACTTGCGCGTAAAAATGTTGGACGCACACGTGTTCCCCCACGCACGCGTGCGTATCTTCCAGCAAGTTTTCCGGTTTCTCTATTCCGAATTTGACAAAACTTCCTTCATGAAAGTTGTAGATAATGAAGTCTCCTATCCACTACAACTTTCCGAATGTGATTTGAATCATCTAGTTAAGAGATAAATAAAATGGTGGAAGGTCGCATTCTGAAATCGCAACAACGATCATCCAACTTCATCGTCTGTTTTCACCTTTCTCCTCTCAGATTCTCGGAATGGTGTCTTCATATGATTTGTAGCCCTTGAAGTTGTCTTTCATATGCAACTTGAATCGTGTCATGTGGATACTTCTACGAAGAGATGTGCTTGAACGATTGACAAAAGGTCATCCTGAACGCCGTTTTCAAGTTCTACTCGTCTTCTTTTGATCTCGTAGTCAATCCTAGAGCTCTTTTGTCATCAATCTTCATCGTGAACCTCCCGGTGACCTTCAAATCTCTCAATTCACTCTCGAATGTTTCTCGAATCATCCCATTTGCTCCTCAAGCACCGGTGCCGAACTCTAAATTCCTGATTTTGACTCCAAACAACACAAAATTCGAACCAACGCCCGGTAAACATAACTTGAGCTGAAATTGAGACTTGCAACACCTTAAAGCTAGGAAAACCATCAAAAGCCGATCCCAACACACATAAAATGCATGTCAAAATATGGACTTATCAAATTCCCCCACACTTAAGCCTTTGCTTGTCCTCAAACAAACTGAACAACGGGACTTACGATAATCACCACACGGAATTAAAATAATTAGCATGCACCTATAGTTAAAGGGATACTCACAGAACAGACAACCTAAATCAAGGAAATTCTTCCCTAAACTACATCTTTGTACTCTAGCTAAAATATTTGAGAAAATTATTCACAACATCCTCAAAGTAATGACTGCTTACACAAATAAACTAGCTAGTGATCAGAAGGACTTGTGAAGACGGTGATAAATGGTGGATGGTAAGAATAAATAGTCCCTTTCTTTGAGAGTTTTAGAATAATCTGAAAAAAACTTAATGCGTTCAGGAATTTCAGGGCTATTTTTCGGATTAAGGAATTCAGTAGGACACAAATTAGGAATTATCATCTAAACCTATGCAAATAGTAGACATGTTGTACAACTAAGCTAAACCGCCGCGACACTTTGATGCTTTGACGTATACTTGAAGTACGCGAAGAACTAATGCTAATTTTGCAATAGCCTCCAAGTTCGATTAATTAAGATCAGTTTTCCTTGTCATGTTGGCACGAGTACGTCATTTCTTTCGAAAGATCCCCCAAGTCTCATTTTATTGTGTGAACACTTACACTTTTTGACCGGGGCTCATGTTCTCTTTTTCACAAGGTAAGAGGTCTAGCTATCTTAATTAATTTTTTTCAAATTTTCCAGATTTTCACTAGACATTACCCCATTCTAATCTCGACCTCACCAAGGAAAATTAGCAATTAAGGTTCATTTAATCAAAGTGAATCCATGCCTACAATGCAATCCTCGAAAATATCAAATTCCTAAAAAGTGACTGCTCTTACCCCATTTGGAGTATAGGAGCAGTGCCAAAATTGACTCCTACAGAAACTTCCTAAACTTAGCAAATTAAGCCCCTAGTTCCCTGAACACCAAGACTATGTCAGAATTATTCACGGGTAAGGAAACACGTCATTTGGCTATGAAGCTCAATTGATTGGGTAAAGAACAAACTGGTCAGGCTCAAAATGGCTTCTCCTAAAGGACTTATTCAGGTCAGGTGGATGATTTGTGAAACGATTCAATGTGTGACTAATGCCATGGTAACTTAGTGTCCTTTAGAAAATCCAACTCAATTTTCTTCCACACCAATCTTTGAGATACAACTCCACCATTTTTTCCTTTACTTTTTTCAACATGCTTAATACAAAGATCACAAAGGACGTGAAGTGAGTTTTTTGACCAAGTAACTCGTCCTACTTTGTTATCAATTGTATTTTCATGTTCACCCCTTTGAGAATCATCTATACTTTTCTTTCGTAGAGGAGCCATGTAAAACTCAAAATAATGAAGTACATATATGTAAAAAAAATTGTTATAACTAAAAGAAAATTCGCTAACAATGTATTAACAGAACTGTTACCTTAAAAAATTTGTTCGATACTAAACTAAACTAGTAAAAAAAGTAAAGTTTTCAACTGAGAGAGTTCTAAATTTTTCCCAAAATCATTTCATCTAACCTCTGGTACATTATATTTCAATTACAATTTTCAATTTACAAGCACTTTAATAAACCAAATACATACGAAAAGATACTATTAAAAATATTAAAACACAAATAACAATTACAAGAATTTTCTATCAACTTAACTATTACACATAACCATTGTTCACTTATCACTAATTATTAACTTAATAAGATAGAACCCCATATAAGAAAGATTATGACCCCATATTGAAAAAGTAAGAGTCAGATGGTCATGATCCTTGCTCAAATCAACTATTGATCTATACCATGAAGTCATGGAAGGGTGTTGGAACACATATTAATGAAATGTATATATCATAGAATCAATTAAGTTTAAGACATTTATGCATTCATATATCATGGAATAAATTAAGTTTAACTGTTTAAGACAACTCATGAAGTATTTTCAGGTTGGAATAAATAGCATGACCTTTACAGACATGAAAATTGCATGCAATAGGGTAACTATGGAACTGCATAGGTGGGCTGAACCAAATAAGCTATATTATGAATATATGTAAATATAATGAACGATTTGAATGAGGAAGTTAAGACAAGTCCATAAGGTTTATTAAAAAGCTATGCATATGGTTTATGTAAATACAGGACCTTCGCATAAAGGTTTGCATTAAAATATAGTTACTGCATATATATGTTCAAAGTTTTTCCCATAACTTAGAATCACGTCAATGTTAGAAACTTTGCTACCAGCTATAAGACTTGCATGTTGAATTAAGATGATGAAAAAGTTAAAATCCTATAATTGAATAATTGATACCAAAAACTTATTAGAAGGTAAATGCTAAGAACATGGCTTTAACGTATAGTAGTTGGATCCCATATTTAAAATTAAATTTCAGCTTCCATTGTGAGCATTCATCAAATAACAAACATTAAACAAATCCTGAAAATACAATCACAATGTAAAATAAATACTCTTAATAGTTCAAAGAAAAAGCTCACAAGCAGCCATGTGAGTATAAAAGTGCAGCAACTGCAACCAAACAACAAACTAATTCCTCACAAACATTTTAAAAAACACCTTTTGAGCAAGTAGAAAATCAGAAACATATCTGGTAAAGATTAGCTCACTCAAACATCAATACCACAAGCACCAAGCTGCCTAATATTCACATCAATAATACACTTGCAAAGTTAGCCCACTCAAACATCAATACCCAAAAGAAATCACCAACATATCAAGATTAAAAATCAAAATCAATTCACAATACATAATCTAAAAAAGACTTTTTTTTTGTTCAAATAAAGTTTGAATATATATGAGTGATTCCCATTTTTAGAATACCTGGGCTGGAGTCTTGTGAAGGAATGAAGATCTTTCTTCCTTGACCCTTTCTCCTATTTTGGTATCATATTGTTTTCTGATATACATTTCAAACAGTATCAGACAACTCAAGAGGACACAAATGCAAATTAATGGAAAATTCAAAGTAGACCTCACACATATACGACCTGCGACAAAATAAAGAAAAGAAAACAGAGAGGGGGGGGGGGGGGTCGACGAGCGGAACAGGCGCAGACCAATTGCTGTAGAATAGAATAACATCGTCGGAGAGGAAGGAAAATGGAAAATACAAAGTAATGGGAAAAAATCAGAGAAGGAAACATCAAGAGAGAAGTTGCGTACCTTTGTTTGTAGTTGGCGAAGAAGAAAGATGTCTGAGAAAAAGAATGGAGATGTGTGGTGTGATGTTTGTACCTACGTACTAGTACCGGGGTATAAACGGCAAAAAAAATTGGATCAGCCGAAATATGACCTAAACGCTGTCTGGGTGAGCTTTTCAAATATCGACTTCTTCGTATGATCAACCGAACGGATAAGGTGATTAACAAACAAGGTTTTTGAATGGCTGATAAGCTATTTGTCAAATAACCCCATAACCTCAATCATATTCACAAGTAATCATTGGGCAACAATTGTAGTTACTAGTTAAATATCAGAATCAACCACAAATAGAAACCGTTGAGTACCGAGTACGAGCTAAAACTAGGTTAATTTTTGGACAATTAAATATTCACTAGACAATCTGTTAGCCTCTTACATGCCTTGTGCTCCCTCTCATTTCTCAATGTATTCATCCATGCTTATAATAATACGGTTTAGTTTATGTGTTAACCGTATAATACTCCGTATTTTAAATTTATACGCAGAATTTTCCACATGAGACAGAGGTCAAAAGTCTGCCGAAATCAATGAAGATTATAAGGCTCTTAAGTTAGAAAATCAGCTGATCTGTCGGCGTTGTTCGTTGATCCGTAACCTCTCTGGTTTTGTCCTCTGAAGCGTCGGCCGAATCAAAGGAAAAGGGCGCTCTCTAGTCGTCTCCACCTTTTCGGTTCATAAGCATATATTCGTTAGGTTCCTTTACCCCTCTCGGAAACATTAAACACTGAGAGGAAAAAGCTTCGGAGCTTTTCTATTGCATTCTCGTTCTCCGGCGATACATATGCAAGTGAACCTCTTTTTATTCGGTCAACCTTATTCCGAGATATTTCATTCTGGGTCGGTGCTCTTGCTACTTTGAAATTGAATCTTCGTGTACAGGTGATGTTTCATTTACCACTCTTGATCCATCATCAAATAAAGAAATTCTTCAAATTGGGCTAGCTTATGCATTAATTTGTTAATCTAAAACACACCTTCATTTAATCAATGTCACGATTTTTTGAAATTAAATTGGAATCATCTAAATAGATAATGCTATTGGCAAATGCTCATTGGAAATTAAAACATCATCTAGATGCATGTTATTTTTATATTGATCTGCTGTACTGTCATTGACTAGATTTATGTTACTATCCCAGTGTAATCCAGACTTGAGTATTTCATTTAATTTTTTTTTTTGTTTTAATGACAAGCCGTGCTTCCTTTCATTACTCAGTACTTCAGGAGACGTTTTCTGCTGCATTGAGTATTCTCTCTGGACTGAATTTGTCCACCTGTCCCTCTACATACAGGTGCTGATTTGGGAACAATAGTAGACTATGCGTCATAATTGGTTGACTTTCATGGATTTTGATAAAGACCCATCTCAAATGTTTCCCCTAGAACCCTTTGTGCCTTACGGTTTTGGAATGGATTTCCTCTATCATATTAACTCTGTTATTGATAATTCAACCGTGGCCCTTCAAGAAGCTTTATGCTGTTTCTCAACTTTTGCTGGCACCCTTGTATTACGGGCAGCCAGTTCGTCAAATGCAGATAGTAAGGGTAGAATATCACACAGTCATCATAGGTCATGCAGAAGTTCTGAGTCTTTGGTCCAAGGGAAGAAAGTTTCTTCTGGTAGGCATATCCCTAAATCTAGCTGTAGAGGGAAGTTCACATTGCCCGTGATTATTAGCAAAGTTTCGAAGTTCACTATAATGCATCTATTTAAAGAATCTACATATCTTCAGCCAATTCCTGCACTCTCATTAGCAGCGGCATTGGTGCCAGCTTTTACCAATATGTAAGCTTATATGTTATTTTGTTTTACAACTGTTAGCGTTGGTATAAATGACACATATAAAAATGATGGCCATGTATCTAATGATGCATGAACTGTATGTCAATCAGATCTGGTAATGTACTTGCTGCTCCCCTGGAAGATGCTTCTACTATGGAAGCACAAATGTGTATGGATCAAAGCCCATGTAAAGGTGAACATCATGGATTCGCTAGTTCTTTTTTTCAAAGTATAAATTGGTCTAGGCTTGCTGTTGAGCCCAGAACTGGGATTGAATTTCCTATCATCTTGGACGACATAATCACCGGCGATAATAATTCAAGCTTTATGTCTGAGGTACACATATCAACAATGAAATTATTCTTCACATTTTCTTTTTAACACAATAAGTGCTCTGTACGATCTAACTCATTATGTGGATAATGTCAATGTTTTATTATAGTGAAGCTCACATACCAATAGTATGATGTCTTCTAATTTATAGTTTCAATTTTGTTATCCAAAAAAGTGTTTTCCTCTTAGAAATATTATTATATTAGTGAAGCATTTGAGTCTTAACTTGGAGTTCATGTCTATATATCCAGTTTTACACTCAAATAATGAGTGTTAGGAGGAACAGATTCAAGAAGGCCTTATATTCTTATTTTCTCATATAGGCCTTCTATACTGAATTTATAGTGTTTACTTAGTTTAGTTGATTAACTGACTCTAAATTATGTCAATGATCCCAACATAATTGGGGATAAGATTATGATATTGGAACTGAGATTTGTAAATAATACGGAGAATAGTTTATTTTACAAAGATAGACTAAGAAGGATTTACAAGTTAGTTTGAAGAAAAAACTCAAATGTATTCTAAGTTGTAAATATTATACTCAACTCCACTTTAGACATTGATACTTTTGGTGATCATTATAACTTATGAGACACCCATTCTTGAGTTCATTGAGTCACATTTCAGAAATGTTTCTGGTTGAATTTATTGTACATTTCAGGTCCTCGTCGGAACAGGATCCCGTATTATGACTGTTATTAGAATCAAATCTTTGAAGGTTTATGCTTTTGGATTCTGTGAGTTCCCCCTTTTTGTACATAACTTATTAGTTGCTTGAAATACTCTTCCAAATTTAATCCTAAACAGTTAATCTGCTTTTGCATTGTAAATAGATGTACATCCTTTTGATGTCTGCCAGAAGTTGGGTCAGAAATATGCTTCTGTTCCCGCATGCGAACTGAACAACCTGCACGAGTTTTATCAGGATCTTTTGAGGTAGCTACAAAATAGTAGAATTTGATTACTCATTGTTTAAAGAGAAAAATTTTTGTTCTTATTTATTTGTGTTTTTTTATGTTAAAGAATGGCATATCATTTGTATATTATGTTTGTTGTCTTGAAGAACAATGTCATTTCCTGTAAAAGGTCATTTTTAGTGTACAATGTCAGCGTGCAGAATGTTTCAGCTTTGAAACTTATGCAGTTATGCTATGAGTGCTTCATGTGCAATTGTGGCTTTCATGCAGGGAGGATATCAACATGACCGTTAGGCTTGTGGTTAGCTGTAATGGGATCAAATTTAAAAATGTCAAGGAGTAAGTCAGGATTATGCATTTATCTTGTTTCAGAAATCGTAAATAATTATTATAAATACTGTGATGAAATGTTCTTATTATTATGATTGTAATTTCCTTTTCATGCCAGTGTATTTGAAAAATCACTCCGAGCGCGATTGTTGAAGGTTAGTTGTTTGTGATATTTGTTTCTAAATTGTTATTCATGCTTTTGATTTGACAGTTGTGATTTTTCAGACGAATCCCGATACTGATTTTCACTGCATAGAAATATTTGGCTCCATTTTCTCACAAGATATCCCTTTACATGTTGTAAGGACTTTTTCACTATTGCAATACGCCCCCTCCCTCATTTCATAGTGTTATGTAAATATGTAATTGAATCTTTTCTTCGAATAAAATATTTTTAGGGGACAACAATCAATTTCCGGCGTACAGGTGATGGACATCTAATAACTGAAAGTAAGTGGCTCACTAATGTAATCGATCAAGATTTAAAATTAATTGCGACTAACAATGTAGGGGAAGCAAAGTTGTATTTTGGCTTATCTTGCGGGTAACATTACTCTTTCGTTTGTGCAGTTGGTGGCAATCATATTGGAGCAGTTCATAGCAAGGAGTTATGTAGTAAGTGGGTTTGGTTGTAGCCTCCGTAAATTGTACGTTAAATTTAAAATAATGAACCCGGAAGATATTTACAGCTGGCCTGGTTTCTCAGGGGCATTTTTTGATATGTACATTGGGGATTTTCCTATTTGCGAGAAAACAAAGGAACAGATTGGACAGAATGTTGCTAGCATTATAAAGGGGTGTTGAGGTTTGGTTCTTTTCCCCTTTTACCACCCACCCTCCTACAGTAGTGATCACACATTTTCGTTGGGAGCGTTCATGGCGACCGGTCATCAAGTTGTATTGGGATGCCAATGCTGAAGGCTTAAGTTATATCCGAATGAGGAGAACAGTAAATAAACTATATAGGTCGATACGTTGCCCAAACAATTTTATGGTTACAATTCAAGCCAGAGTTAGCTATAATTTCAATATCCAAACTCTGGACAGCCTAGGTCATGAGTGAGATGACTTGGAAGCTGTCGAGATGCCCTATGTGCTGTAAATTGCTGTCTTAGCAGAAGTAGTTATTCTCGTGTGATGTGATATATGTTGTACAGTGATTTTAAGTTTTAGTAATGTGCTGAATTGTGACGTTAGTTGTGTTTGAGCAATGATTTATGAGTAAGGCTATGTTTGGGAGAAAAGTTCACCATGGTTTAATTTAAGCCAACCAAAATGGCCTTCTCTTTCAGAGGAATGTTGGCCTAGAATTTCTAAAAAGAGAGTTGGATGGATCGTCAAAATTACTACTGTCAATTGCTGCTATTCCATAACCTGGGGAATATCAGGGATGGACCGGTTCCGGTTCGGGCCCGGCCGGGCCTCGGTTCATGAAGGGGAGGCCCGGAACCGGCCCGAGTAACCCCCGGGTCCGGGCCGGGTCTCAGTTCTAATTTTTTTTTTGGCTTTTCCTAGTTAACCCCCAACCCTCCCCCTCACCCCCAAACCAACCCTAACCACCTCAAATAGCCCAAAATACCTAGCCCAACCCAAAACTTAAAAAAAATTCAAAAAAAAAAAAAATTGGCCCGGCCCGGGCCCGAACCGGCCGGGCCGGTTCACCTTTTGAAGGGCTCGAGCCCGAACCGCCATCCCACCGGGCCGGGTGGTCTGAATCGGCCAACCAACCGGGCCGGTCTGGGCCCACACAGTAGCGGGCCGGTCTGGTTCCGGGCCGGTTGGCCCGGCCTGAGTCCACTCCTAGGGAATACCATCCACGGCTTTGATAGAGCCCGTCACAACACAATCTCTATGCACATCTTGGGCCGGTATGTAGTGTGAAGGGTTACATACTTACATGTTACTCCCTCCGGTTCTTATTGAAGTTCCCAGTTTGACTTCACACATATTAAGAAAATGAATTTGACTTTACTGTGGAGTGCACTGTTTGGCACTGTTTGACACTGTTTGGACACTGTTTAGCACTGTTTGACACTTTTTTGCATTGTTTTGTTTCCTAAAATGGACGTGTGAATTTAAATAAGGGATATCCCAAAAAGGAAAGTGGGAACTTTAATAAGAACCGAAGGGAGTATAAATGACTTTTTAGAGCCTTAGGCGTAGTAGCGCCAACAACGAGAACTTAAGTACGAGTGTGACAATTCTAAATTAAGAAATTGGTTGCCTGATTTTGACGAAGGTGGCCATTCATCGGTGAATGGTGATCTAAATTAAGTAATTGGTTGCCTGATTTTGACGAAGGTGGTCATCAATTTGATGAAGGCTGAGCCGGTCCAATAAATTAAAGCCCACCTCCCGTCCCGTTCGACCCCTAGGCCGGGTACCGGGTCAGTACTGGTCCCGGTCAATCGGGCTCGGGTCGGACCAACCTCTCCCAATTCATCCATATCCTGAATCATTCTTACATTATTGTTACTTTATCATTTCAACATCAAACATATAAACATACTTCTTTTAATAATCGTGTGATTTTCTCGTGCCATGATGTTAGTGGGACAGTGGTGATATTATTTTTAGTAAATAAAAATTAATGTCTTCATTTTTATAAATTTTAATTATCAATTGAAAAAATAACAACTAACATAAATATCTATTATACTAGGTTTGTCTCTCGGTCTATGCAATTGTATATCAATTTTTGATAATTAAATCACATAAATTTCATTTTTTGTTAGCTTATTGCATTCTCTTCTAAATTTAAAAAAGAACTAGTAGCTTTTACATTTTCAATAGAAATATAGTTATTAGTTTGTATTGATTTGTAAAACTTCGATTATGTTTTTTGCATTTGGTTCGCCTACTGGAGTAAAATAAAATACGGAGTACTTTATAAGGTTAGTCATGATGTTGAGGTCACATATAATGGAAGTATGGACTCAGTAACTTTCTCAGTAACACATATAACTTTCTCAGTAATAATTGAAACACTTTGACTTTTACACCCATAACAAATTGTATTTTGACTTTATTTGATTTATTAATGTATTACCTCTGCCCCAATGGAAAAAAAATACTTTATGAGATTAGTCATGGTTTTGAGGTCACACACTATTAATAAGACCAAATTGTAGTAGACTAGCAAATAGTATTGGGCTGGGAAGGGTTTTATCAAATCTAGTGCCCTCGAGAGTGTCATATCCTTCCAGGTCTGAAGAAATCACACCCAAATATTGTTCAATCATCAGAAAATTAGAAGAGTATCGTTTCTATGATTGGGCAGTGTCCGAATTATCTAAAGTAGATCCTGCTTATGCACTTTAAAGTAATTGGGTTGTCTCACAGGTACTTAAGATACAGAGTGAATGTCATTCTGAATAATAATGTATCTATCATGACTTGTTATAATCATTATATTACTCTGTATAAGAATTCCTTGTTATGAAAATATGTGTGGAAGCACCTAACATCAATAATGTTTAACAAAAATACACTCGTGAGTTGTGTCCAAATCTTTTCCTTCCCGTGGAGAGGGAAAAGGGAAGAACCTTTAGAAGAATGAACCATGTGAAGAATCTATGGTGCTGAAGTTGGTATTGTAACTGAGATTGTGAACCTCAAAATGATGGGCTTCGACATTTCTATCATAGCATGTGGAACCAATCGGAGCCATTTTTTCTTAGAGATTAGAGGTTGGGTATAGCAACTCTTCCAGAGAGACAGAAACATAACCCATAGTTTTGACTTGGCTCATGAGTTCAAAGAACAAATTCCCACATTGAAAGGAAGCAACCTGCGTTTTGCCACTCTCAGACAAAATCCCAACTCTTCTCTTTGGACTGAAGATTGCACCAGGCCATTGTTTACTGAATGCTCCTCTGGTAAAATTTTCAAGCCCCAAAACTCCAACATTACCTGCAAGATATCCAAGATTAAAATTACAATTGCATGTTACATCCTACCCTTTTCCATCATTTGCAATGGATCCAAAGATTCATTATTTTTTGGCTTAACATTATGATGTAATAAAGCAAAATGGCTCACTAAACTGTCTGCGCTTCTTTGTTGTCCATGCATTTTTGGATGAGATTTTCACTATGGGCCATCCAACCCTTACCCCACCGTAGATGAGAGCCTTTGCGGGGTTAAATGAAAATGATGTTACATCCTACCCACATCAAACACATTAAACAACACATACTAAAATATACAGCAAGATATTAGTATAGTAGAGTTTCATCCTAAAAATGAACCTTATAAGTCTGTGATAGAGTAATCTGGTTAAATGTATTAGGGAGTAAGTCTGTAAGTAAAACCCTTACTGGATGAATTGATAATTACAGCTGAGATTGAATTTCGATGAACAAACCGCCAAAAAAATTGATCAGTTCTAGGTTCTAACTCTGAGCACAATCCGTGTCCTCTTTTCCCCACCCAAGGTCACGTTCATGGCGCCCAAGAACTTCGATTTTCCGAATAATCTAACCACCGATTCAATTCGCCCTTCCCCGCACTCATCCACCGCAACTACACACGCGCCGCCATCTCGAACCACCCGCTCCATCTCAGCCGCGTATCGGGCGGGGAACAGGGCCCGGTCCAAATACGGACTGAAGCCGAAATCGAACGCATCGTCGAAGAATGGAAGGTTGTGAGGATCCGCCCGGCTCACTAGAGGCGGCGAGTCAACAAGCTCGATTCCGGTGACATCGCTCAATCCGAGATCGTTCAACGCCATGACGGCGTGGCCGGGGCCCGCAGAAACAACGAGGGCCCGAGAATGGTCGGAGAAGAGGCGCTTGTCTCGGAGGAGCTGGAATAGATCCGCGTATGAGCGGACAGTTTGGGTCCAGGCCTTGGTGGACCAGAGGCGGCGGTTGCGTTTATCGACGGAGGTGAAGGGTCGGGCGGTGAAGTCGCATGTGGATTTGGGGAAGCGGTGGTGGGGCTTGAGGTGGCCGCCGGAGATGTGGACGCAGGTGTTGGGAATGCGGAGGAAGAGGGAGAGGAGGATGAGCGTGGCAATGGTGAAGGAGGCGAGGGAGAGCTTGTTTAGGAAGATCTGAATATGGCTATCCATTGTACTGCGATAAGAGCAATCGATGGTTGAGGTGCAAAGCACGTCGTCGTCTGAATGTGCGTAAAGACGACCTCTGCTTTGTTTAGTTTGCTTTGTTTAGAGACGATGAAGAGCATATGCATCCCATTGTATACTGCCCGCTCTACGACCTCATGTAGTTATGCATGGACCCGGTTCGGGCCGGGCCCGGTTCGGGCCTTGAACCGGCCGGTAGTGCTAGCATAATTGAATATTACACATATAATTGAATATTCTCATCAGCATGTAATTTATATGTCCTAAATCAACTTATAAATTGAATATTCAATTATAGTTTAATATTAATATTCATTTCTTTTAAAATAAAATAACTTATTGTACGGTGAGTACATAAACATTGACTTTGGATCTAACATTTTAAAGAAATTGCCTTATATGTTACAGAGTATATGGAACTAAAGTCTAAAACATAATCAAAATGTCACAATACATATGTTTAAATTTTATTTTCATTTTAGAACCTATATTGTACACTTAAAGTTTATCAAAACTCAAAAGGTGGAATCGTCCACTTCAGACACTCCCCACACCCTACACTGAGAGAATAGTGAAGAAGTCAATCATAATATCATTTCAACTAGTTTTTGAATGAGGTGAATCAAGGTCTTATGCGCACAAGAAACATACAAGTAAAATTTATCACATTTATATACTCTATAATATCTATTGACATTTTTATTACTCATATCCAACATTTTTGGTACTAATCAAGATGACATTTTTTACTTGTATTTTTCATCTAGTCAATAAAATGTTCATCAAGATGACAATTATTATGTTGTTTGAATGTCAATTTGTGTGGTTTTGTAATAAAACTTGACAATGTAATTGAGACTTAATAATGACAATATGATGTGTTTTTGCTACCCCTAGGTCACTGCTTCTATTTTTGTTTTGTTTGAGGATGACAGTCTTGTTGGCTTGAAAATATGCATGACTTTCTTTAATAAAGGTATTTTGGACATTCATCCCTATTTTTACTACTATTATAGGACACATAAATGTCATGATCCTATTTTTATGATTTCTTTATATTTTATTTCTCTTTTGTTTAGTTTCTCTACCTTGTATAGTCTTGATAACACTGATGGCTTTACTGACCTAGGGGTACCAAAACTAAGGGAGAGTCAGAATGTATCACAAGTAAGAAATGAGTTGGAAATTTGGAGAGTATGTTTAAAACTCAGAATTGTGATTCACTTCAAAAATCGAAAAGGTGATATTTATAGTGTAATATGGAAAATTTATGATGACCATGTAAAATATCTAGCCTAATAATAGCATATATGTCGTGTGTAAGGACATCACTCAGAATTGTAAGGAACATGTAGCCTAATAATATTGACGATGCTGAAATGCGAAAAAGTGGGAGAACATCATTATTGACCAAATTGATAAAATGTTTTCGTATCAATGGAGTCCACATATGCGTTTATAGACGATGCAAGATGTGGATATTTGAAAGGTCTAAATAGATAACTTCCACCAACTTATATAAGTTTTTTGGATTAAATAATTTTTTAACCCAAAAAGTAAGCCACCATAAACGGTGGAGTAAGCGCTGGGAATTCGGAATGTGTACAAGGGACAAAATTATACCTCTGAAATTAAGGGGAGAAATTGGGGCGACCCTTACCAACCAAACAAATGGAGATGTACAAAATGAATAACTAAGGGTGGGAATTCGGAACTCTGACGTGAGTTCTCTCGCATTAAAAATATGTAGCAGTATAGGGTGTTAGTACGAGTATCGTCTCCATAGGGACGGAAAAGGAGAATCAAGAATTAAATAAATTAAAAGATAAAAATAAGTAAAATAAATGCAATTGTGCGAGATTTGGGTTGTTGGAAAATTAAAATGTGAATAAATGATTAAAATAAATGGATTCTTTCTGATTAATGACGAAAGGGAACAAAAATTGATTCCGGAATAATCAGATTTCTGCCTGATCAGGCTTAATCACATGAAAATTAATTAATTGAGCAACGCTAATCAATACTAGGTTCTTAACACTCTCGCGGCGTAGAGTACAATAATTTAGGGAACTAGGCTGATCTCTCATGTGACATGTATCTAAATTACTGCCAAATCGAGCGAGCGTACGACCCCTTAATCGTTAATTCATTACTAATTAACGAGGGAATGATTAAGTGTGTGTAAAGGTGTGTCCAAGAATAAATTAGATCTCTCTTAATTTATTCTATGTGCAATTATAATCTAAGTGGCCGTTCCAGGTTACAAAAGATATCAATTAAATTATTCAAAAAATAAAACCATCAAGAAATTAACCATAGATTATCATTAACCCCTTCATCAATTCCAAATCCCTAATTAAAACTACTCACAATTCATAATTGAGCAACCATTAGAACTGAGATAAAAAGAATTAATTGTCATTAATTAAAAAGTCGGAACTTACAAATAATCCCAGGGTCTTGAAGAACAAAGCGGAAAAATACACAAACACTCATCCTAGGCCTCTCTAAGCTGAAATTCCTTCATCGGGCATGACATGCTTGACTGGCACGCACGGCGTGCCCGATTGCTTCCTTCATCTGGAGCTCATTGCCACGCCCGCACGGCGTGCCCGATTGCTTCCTTCATCTGAAGCTCATTGCCACGCCTGCACGACGTGCCTCCCTGGCAAGCACGACGTGTTTGGCCTATTCTTCATAAATTTCTTCCGTTTCTTACTCTAAATGCTCCTGTTTGCTCCCGTGATCAATCATAATGCTCTTTTATCATCAAATCTTCATCGTAAACCTTATGATGACCTCCAAAGCTCTCAATTCACTCTCAAAAGCGTCTTGACTCATTCCGTTTGCTTCTAAAACGCCGGTGCCGGGCTTAAATTCCCGGTAAAACATGACTTGAGCTAATTATGAGACTTATAACACATTTAAGCTAGGAAAACCATCAAAAGCAAATCTCAACACGCATCAAATGTGTGTCGAAATACGAAGTTATCAGCCTTACTGGTTAAAAATGAAAACAAATTAGGTGATAGATCTATGACAAGGTCCACAGAGTGGGTTAAAAATGAAAACAAATTAGGTGATACTTAGGTCTTACACACCAAAATTGCGAGCTAAAAATGGAGGATAGTTGTTTTGACCGGGCATGATAGTTCGCATTTCTTACGGTGATGTGGGCTTCCCCGTAATAGTAAACAATTTAAAGAGCAACTCGACCTTCGAATGTTTCTAGAATTGGCTTGATAATGCTAGAGAGATCCTCTCACTCCAAGGCTTTACAAATAAGTTCTGACTCAGACTCAATTCGATATTTCGAGATCTCCAAGCGCCATTCACCAATTGATAGCTTCAAGGATCACTTTTGCTTCAACCTGGAGGACCAAATTTGCTTTGATGGGAAAGTAATTAAGCCGCAACCATTACTTTATCAGTAGAGCAGTAGAGCTTCGAAGGAGCGCTCCACTTGCACTATGGCCATCGTTGAAGGCCACGTCTCCGTATAATCGCAGATGATAAGGTTTGATCTTCTTCCAAATGAGAATCTTGTGTGTAGTTCTATTTTGGATATCGGGTATTAGAGTTTCCATGTACAAATATAGTCAAATTTGAGGAATTTTCCCTTGTGATTGCTTGAACACCCTTCAAAAGTGTAGATTCTAATTTGCGTTTTGATAGTGTCTCCATTAGACTTGTGGTTATCCCATATAGCCCCATTAATAGCTTTCCAAACATGCCAAAGAATTATGCGATGTAAGATGGGTCTCATTTACCCCTGCATGGTGTGCAGATTGGCTTCCGAGACACCATCGAAGGAGGACATGTCTGGTGCCTGAACTTGCAGGATTGCCATGTAGTATGACCAAATTGGCATTACTACTTGGAGGCATAAGGGACATTTGGAGGCAAATTTGATTTGGAATCTTGTGAGGTTTTCAGGGAAAGGGAGATAAGAGTGGAGGTTGATTGCAATACTTTTACAACCGTATTATTAGCTTATTTAAATGTTTTCATTACTAGCTTATCTTGTTTTATAACTGTGAAATATATGATTATATTCATTATTCTTGATAACCAAATATTATACAAGTTTTCTATAGGCAATTCTATTGACAACCCTCAAACTACTATGCACAACCCCCAAATTAAATATTAATTAATCAAATTAACTCAAATATCTAAATTAACCTTAATCATAAGAATAAAATTATATATACTTTGCCTCATACGACATTATAGCTTCACAGAAAAGCACACCCTCATTCAATCAAGACTCTCTAAAGCTCTGCAGAAGTGAAGGTTTCAAATCCTTAAATCTTATTGCCCGAGTTCCATATTAGGATGTTGAATTCGTTTTTACATCTTTCTTTAGATTGATGGATGAACTAAACTCATGCCTTCCCTCAATAAAATAGTGATATATTATACATCGTAAAATTATTTCTATGTTTTGTTTTGTTTTTAAATTTGCTCAAAGAATTCCATATTTCATATATAGGGCCTCTCTAAAAGCAATTCTTATCTATAAGGTGGTCTTCTCCCTAGCAGGTCTAGGGCTAGGTATTTCTGCAGCTTAGGTGCGGGGCCATTCAATTTTTCCGTCGCTTAGATTTCACTTCTCTTTAAGCAAGGGAGCCATCGTCCGGCGTCACTACTATTGGTGGGCATGGAGACCAAAGTCGGGGTTGAAGGGAACAAAGTCGTAGCTCTCGAGTTTGGGTGACTCTTCACAGACCACAGTAGATTCTACTTGAGTGGATTGGACTGGGATCTCCCTGTTGGTCGTGTTTTCTGCCCTCGATTGGACTAAACGCAATACAATCAGAGTTTTCACGCTCCCTCTCTAAGATCTCTAAGAAACTTGGTTAACGCATCCACAAGTTGATTAGTGACATAATTTGTGACAATATCTCCATCTATGAACTTTTCTCGGATAAAGTGACAATCAACTTCAACGTATTTAGTCATCTCATGATTTATCGGGTGTGCTGCAATGTACATTGCAACTTGATTGTCACACAATAATTGAACGTGTTTTGCGCTTCCATATTTTAGTTCTTGGAGGAGATGCTTCAGCAGTTCAGCTATAAGATTTCACATTTAACAAGGGTCTTTGCGCGGTATTCTGC